ACTTTACTCTTTCCCCAACATTGACAGAGCTTTCCGGCTATCTAGGTTTTCACTGTTATACGGTAGGGGGCGCTATTACGCATCTTCTAAAAGAGTGAGTAGTATGAAGCTGCAGACTCGGAGCCTGCATCTACAGAATCTCTGGGTCAAAAAAAAAAAAAAAAAACACAGATGAAGATGAGAATAAAGCAAATTGCTTTCGCAAATGTAAAACAACGCGATCATCAAACATTAAAAAAGTATATTGGTTCAAAACTGCCCAACGTTCCCAGAGGAAATGTCGACCCAGGAATGGTTTATGACTGTGAAGCTTTGGGGGTATTGTTGATGAACTCTATACTCCATCTATATTCTGATAATCCTTCTGAATCCGATCCGGACTTAAAAAATAAATAAATAAAACATAAAACGCGATTTTTCCGCTTTTTGTTTAAAATGTCTTTTTCTTTCTGTTAAATGGAAACAATTAAAGCTTAAAGCTACAATGAACACTTAAATAGGAACATATGTAGGCCTACACTTAACGTGTAAAAATAATGGAGGCATAAATAGTAGGAACTAAGTAGCCTATGATGTTATGTTCACTTTAAACTTAGAGAAATATACTTGTATAGTATAAAAATTACCAAACTAGTAATTAGGCTAGTTTACTGTGAGTAGCCATGTACTTTCATCAACTAAAAATGTGCTAATATTTGACTAGTAAACTACCTATTAACTTCCTAGAACTTGGTTGTAAACTTATTTAGTGAAAGCTTATACTGTTAGGCTACAATTAAAGTATACTTATAAGTATACTTTTATAGTCTAACCTAAAAGTGGGCCAATTTAGTCCCATAAACAGTATAGCCTAGGCCACACGTACAGGTCTACTGCCAGTACATTGATATGAGTATTCTTACTACATAAATATGCTTAAAAATATAGGCTACTTGAATTTTACTTAGGCTACTTAAAATTAACTTGATCATTTTTGAGTAAGGGATAGTAGCTAAACCTTGATATTGTTTGCATTGCTGTTGTGTACTATTCCTTATAATCTCGCTCTACTTAACATCGATTTTCCAACACTATGTTTACAGTGCAATAATCAATTTCTCTTAATCAATGCTTAAACCACTTCAGATGTTGTTCTATAAAATGGAAGATAAAGCACGTCAGGAGAAGGAAATATTTTAAAACGTCGAAGTAAAGTGGATAAACAGCTAAAGCCGCTTAAACTGATTTATCAAAACTGACGACCGCACACTAAAACAAGAAAGCGAAAAAGTTTGTTTACCCAACTATTTGTGTGTGGGTTGTAAAACGGATGTGTTCAGAGTAACACTGACTGACTGCTGCACTTCAGCGCCCTCTGCTGGCAATTAACCTTTTCTTTCATAATGGCTTTGTCTCGAAACCTATTCAGCTTCCTTGCTTGAATAACTAATTAATTTGGGCATGATGGGCATCAAGAAAACATGAGTCGAGATGTGTAGTCTTGACACACAGATTGCTATCTTGCCAAACGTCTTGCAGACCAGTAAAGACATCATATGATCTTTGTTGGCATGTGACCACAAAGTAAAACAGCCATCCCTGCTGAAAAATCCAGCTAAAACCAGCCTAGGCTGGTTGGCTGGTCTTAGCTGGTTTAAGCTGGAAGTAGCTGGTTTTAGTTGGTCACCCAGCCTGGCTTAGCTGGTCAAGCTGGTCTCCCAGCCTGACTTAGCTGGTTAAGCTGGTCTCCCAGCCTGGCTACCAACTTGACCAGCTAAGACCAGCCTGACCAGCTGAAAAAGTGTTCAAAACCCCTCTAAAACCAGCCTGATAAACCAACTAACCAGGCTGGGAGACCAGCCAAAACCAGCCAACCAGCCTTGGCTGGTTTTAGCTGGATTTTTCAGCAGGGATGCTCTCTATTTCATCTAATCCCCCCACCCCCTTTCCTTTGGGTCAGTTATCTTAGTGTCATGTCCATGTTTTCTGTTATCTTTTTGTATTTGTTTTTGAGACCATTTAGAGAAATATTTGCCTGAAAGCATGCATTCCTCAGTGCTTTCAGTGAGATATTTGGATAGTCTCCACCAGGAATCTTGCTGTTTGTGTTCCATTTTGTGGCATAATCATCAAGGACTGACTATGCCTTGCTATTAAGCATGTCAAAAAATGGAATGCAAATAACACACTGTTTTAACTGCTTCGGAGATAAAAGACTGAATCAAAAACAATACGAAGGAAGGAGTTTTCAGTTCTGTGGGAACACAGAACAATCTACTTATGCTGATTACTATGAATGAGGACATGCATTATTATTAGCATGAATAAATCCACATGTATCAACGTTTGCAAATTACCTTCCATAATCAAGAGACTTAGAAAAAAGAAGCATGAACCAACTTTAAAGTAATGAGTCGAACCAAATTGGCGTTTGAGCTGAAGATTTTGACGAGTTTTCCATAATTACGTCGCTCCTCGAACAAAGCCACCCCCTTCTCCTTTAAGCTCATTGATTTTAATTATTTATTACAGGGTGCAATAATTCCAAGGTCAGTGCTGTTTTTTATCTGACATTGTCACAATGAAAGTTAATTCAGACCATATCGGTCTATAAACTATTGTTAGGCAAAAGATTTATCTGCAGACAGACGGAGCATGTGTTAAGACATTTAAAAGCCATTCAAATCATTCAATCCGAGTCTTAAACTGGTTGATTTGATTTGATTTAAAGTGGCAATGAAACATGTATCAGAATTTTAGCTTCTTAACCAGTTGAATTCTTCCACAATATTTATTTTGAGATCCATACACTCTCATTAAAGTGTCCAAATACGTTATGGGTCCAGATATAATCCAATATAAGTAGGCTATGATGCATGTGTGTTGTCTTCTGCTCTTCACCATGACTAAATATGTCAGAGTGACTGAAGAGTATTTGGTCACCCATCCAAATCACAAGACATGCAATCAACCTCAGGCTAAAGCCACCGTAACCAATAAATGTTCTTCAGCCAGTTTAATTTTATGGAGACATAAACATGCCCGTACACACACATTGTTCCCTCAGATTCCACACATTGTTGTGGTTTTTAATTATCTCCTCATGAAAAATGAAGTGTGAAAACTGTGACATTTCAACAGTTTTTTGAGGTTAATACAGTGGATTTATGACAGCAGCAAATGCACATGTGCAAGAGAGACTGAATGAATGTGGAGAGCGCTGGGATGTGTGAGAAGAGACAACATGAGCATCTTTATTTTCTCTGGTGGAGAAAGAGACTTAAGGAGCTGTACTTTACAACTAATGCACATTAAACAGAATTACGATACCCAATCAGACCATCTTTAAACTGTACTGCTGCATTGCTCTTTTGCATGCACAATTATACATCTCATTTGTAAGATGGTGTGGATAAAAATCAATAAATATATTTTTGTGGTATTAACTTTTCTCATCAATATCCTTTCTGCTCTGAAACTGCAAGAGACCTTCAGTGCTCTCTATGGGAGGATGAGCACCTTTTAAAAAAACTTTTGCTGATAATTTACTCACCCCCATGTCATCCAAGATGTCCACGTCTTTCTTTCTTCAGTCGAAAAGAAATTAAGGTTTTTGATGAAAACTTTCAGCATTTTCTCCATATAATGGACTTCAATGGGAACCAAATGGTTCAAGGTCCAAATAAGAGATTCAGTGCAGCTTCAAAGGGCTTCGAACGACACCAGACGATGAATAAGGGTCTTATCAAGCATAAACAAAAAAGTTTAAGTTTTATAAGCACAAATGCTCGCCTTGCTCTGTTCTGTGATATGCGTTCATGACTCTCCTGTTCAAACTCGTTCATTAAAATGAACAAATCTTTTTTCGAGTCATGACTCGAAGGGTCCTTGATAAGACCCTTATTCATTGTTTGGTGTCATTTAAAGCCCTTTGAAGCTGCACTGAAACTCTCATTTGGACACCATTTGGTTCTCAATGAAGTCTGTTATATGGAGAAAATCCTGGAATGTTTTCATCAAAAACCTTCATTTCTATTCGACTGAAAAAAGAAAGACGTGGACATCTTGGATGACATGGGGGTGAGTAAATTATCAGCAAAAGTTTTTTTTTAAAAGCGAACTACTCCTTTAAGTTACTTTTTTTTTTTATCAGTATTCAGTACAGAAGTTTCTAATCTTCCAAAGATATGCTCTGTTCTCTCCTGAAAAGTGTTTCCTCAAATCTAGATAAGATGATGGAGTACTTGTTTTTACAGGAATGAAGTGCTGCTGATAGGGACATAAGGCTTAAAGTGTGCACAAATGAATATGGTGGACTTTACCTCCTGTTACAAGAACATAATCAATAAAAGGGCTGGACAGCAAAATCATTGTAACAATTAATCTTAACTTTGAAACACATTGAACAGTGAACATGCCCATCTTGTCTAGTGTAATAACATACATTAGTATCTTAAACGGTGCATGCAGAGCCTAGTCACGAAATTACCAAAAGTCACTTTGAATAAAAGCATCTGCCAATATTGCTTAAAATATAAAAGATTAAACTAAAACAGGACTAAGTAGGCTACGTGCATATGCAACAGGTTCCTAAAGTTCATCATAACATATAAAGTAATTGATTGTGACCACAGGAGTTTGGAGCGTCTTGCTGTGAAGGACTGTGCATTAAATGAATCATCATCATCATCATCATCAAAAAAAAAAAATAGATATATTTATATACAATATATATATATATATATATATGAAGAGTTCAGATGCAAAAGCCTTTAAATGCCATTTGAAATTTTCTTCTTTAATGATGATTTTTATCAAACTTGTATATTTAAGTAATTATCATTGCCATTTAAGTGAAATTACTTTAGAGGCTTTTGCATCTGAACTCTTCATATATATATATATATATATATATATATATATATATCTTAGATATTGAGTGTGATGGGTGAGCTTGGAGAGAGGGCTCTGAAAGGGTGGAGACACGCGCGCGCATCTCTTCAAACAGCCTCTGGAGGAGACAGACGCGCAGAATACGCTCTGAACCTCCTGCTTTTGGACATATGAACTTAAACACTATCTCAAGAGACCGAGGCATCGGCAAACTGAATGAAAAACAAAGCAGATGAAAACGGGACGATAACTGACACCCGAGGGAGAACTTTTACAACTTTAAACGTTTTGAACATGAAGTAGAGTGCTGCGTAAAAGCTTGCGCAATCGTGCACAGACCAGACTGAGACGACAACAATCTATTGTTCATTTAGTCCTTTTGAAGCAAAAAGTTTTGAAGATGAACACCTCGGATATTTATTGCGATTCCCAATTTACAAATGCGTCCAACTTTTCGTGTGTGAACCGAACCGTCCCGTCGTACAGCATCATAGACATCGCGTCTTTCATGCACATATTCCCCACTATCTACGGCATCCTATGTTCAGTTGGAGTTCTGGCCAACAGTTTGGTCATCTATGCTGTGGCATCATGCAAGAAGAAGATGGTCTCTGATATTTACGTGCTGAATCTGGCCATCGCAGACTTGCTGTTCTTGTTGGTGATGCCGTTTAACATCCACCAGCTGGTCAGGGACAGACAGTGGGTCTTTGGGCACTTCATGTGTAAAGCCGTGGTGGTGGTGGACGTCAGTAACCAGTTTACCACAGTGGGGATAGTGACTGTGCTCTGCATTGACAGGTGAGAGTTGCATGCATTTGGGAGATTGCCAGAATGATGAAATGCAGTTAGCTGCCTGCTGCTAGTGGTCACACTGTATTTACATCTGTTGCATGTAGGCCTTAAACCATACAGTGGGGGAAAATCACAAATGAGAACTCACTTATCTCTGGAGACTAATTCGCCACTGGTTCCCTCGAGATTTTCCCATGTGCTTTTGTAATGGGTTTTTTGAATTTATGAGTAAAATAAGGTCTGTGGTAAACGTAAGTTGACGACGTTTTCTGCAATATACATTTCACACAGCCTCGTCGAAAACTCGAATATTAAACGTGTCTAATAGCCTAACTAAGTAACGTTATACAACAAAACGTCGAAGTATCATAAACTTATGTTTACCACAGAGGCACAGACCTTCTTTTAATCAAAAATCGGAAAAACTCCATTATAAAACATTTCGAGGGAATCACTGGCGAATTAGTCTAACGGGTGATGACGTAGCCTACTCCCTGCACCGTGAACTCAAATATTTCTCATTAGATGCTTATTATTGTTTTTTTGCATTTATTATAAGCATAACATAAACCCCCATATGTATACATATTTACAATAAAAAATACTGCGTTTTATGCTAAATAATTTTGCTAAATGTAATTTAATAATTTCTTTCTGTGACCTTGGATCGTGTTCTTGACAGGTTTCTTTTAGTGAAGATAATATTAAATGTGGTTATACTATGAATCAGATTTAGGGGTCAAGGGGATATAATTCTTTATTCAAACTCTAATTAAAGAGCACTGAACATTTTCACCAAATTATATGAAATTACAGCCCAGCTGTTCATCACTTAATCAACCTATGATTAAGAATGTATGCAAATGAAAAGAAAGAAATCAATGGAACTCTCAAGGGTGCTATCTGCTACATGACCTTGAATACTGAAGCAGACTGCATTCATCATTTTTAAGTCTGTAAGACTGTACTTCACACAGAAACACTTGAGCACACAATAAAATGGTGTCCTCATAAAATACATTCCAGAGGTGAGTTTTTGCTTAGTCGTGAGTGTCAAAGACACATGAGCCCCCCAGAAAACCTCTGCATGATTCGATGATAAAACTCCACACTATAACACTTTTTCATATAGTGTCGTTGTATTCCCAAAGGGTTTTACTGCAGGGTCACATGCTTGGAGGTACTTAGATAAAGTATCTTAGCTGCACATTTTCATCATGTTTTGCAAAGCAATATAATCCCAAATTCTGTTTAAAGAGCGACATTAAAGTCCCTGTGAACAATTCATTATACATGGAGCCAGACGTTTTCTCTTTCTTTAAAGGGAAAAAAAACAAATGTTGTCTGACTAGAGTAAGAGAGCTGTTATACTTGATGAAAACCAAAGCTGATGTGTCTGGACTTTACTCGAGTAAAATACACATCTCTTGATTTGATGCTCCTTAAACTTTTATCTGCCAGAAGCATACAAACAGAGCAAATGCATTTCTTACAAATATGTCACTTGCTGTGCTGTTTTACTGTAGCATGTGACCTGTTTGCTTTCCGAGAGTTAAGACAAGTCAGCTACATATTGCTAGAAAGCTGTTTTACGGTAAAAAAAAGCCTTATACCCCAAGTGAGCAAAGACAGCTGTGGCAAAGAAAGAAGCTATGAGAAAGAAACCAGAATCTGGGAGAGCAATGTACTGCATATTTACATTTTGGAAAATCAGTAAGATTTAAAGAAATCAAAACTTTGATTCAAGCAAGAATGTATCAAATTGATCAAAAGTGACAGTAAAGATGTCTGTTTCATCAAAGAATCCGAAAAAAAAAAATCATGTTTACACAAAAATATTAAGCAGCACAACTGTTATCAACACTGGTAATAAGAAAAATTAGCTGGAGCATCAAATCAACAATGATTTCTGAAGGATCACTGCTGAAAATTCAGGGTTGCCATTACAGGAATAAGTCACTTTAAAAATGACATTGCAAAAGAATTATTTTAAACTCTAATAATATCTCACAATATTACAGTTGTATTGCATTTTTGATTTAATACTGTATGCTATTACATCGGTTATTACATATGCCCAGTGACTACAGTTGAAAATTAGCCAAGATGGCTAAACTGGCTCATTTACGTAAGCGTTTATTAATGTGCACGGTCCCTGTAACTTTAAACTGATTAAATAAATGCAGCCTTGGTGAGCATATGGGACTTATTTCAAAAACTGTAAAAAAAAAAAAAAAAAAAAAAATACAAAAATAAAAATCTTACCAACTCCAAAGTTTGGAATGGTAGTTTACAAATGCCAAATACTAAGTTACATAATATGTTTAAGACAATTTACATTTATTTAAAATATGGGTTTTACTTTATTTGGATGGCCCCTTTAACACATTCAGTTGACTATAAGTAACATCTACATCTCTACTAACTCTAGTGTTAGTAGAGTATTAGTAGACTGGTAGGGTTAGGGATAGAATATGTTGACATTTAGTTACAAAGCTACTTCTAGTCAGTAGAATGTCTGTTGGAGGAGCATCACAATAAAGAGTTGGCAGATATAGTCTACTGATACTCTAATGAGAGTTAGTTGACATGTAGTTGCAAAGTCAACAGGATCTTCAACAGAGACCATCAAAATAAAGTGTTACCAAAATATGAATTAATAATGTATTATTAAAATGTAGGCTATATGTGGAATCCACCAGGCAAATGGATTTAAAATATGTTATAAGTTCTTTAATATGATATTGTTTGAATGTATCTCTGTTGTATAATATAATATAATAGCCCTGCACTTGAGCATTTTGTAAAGTTTACTCTTGAGAACATTTTCTGAATATACTGATGGAATTACATACTTAAGATTCCATTCTCGAACATTTCATTCCAGCAGTTGTTAAACTCCTCGCTACATTACAATTATTGTAACCACAGTGCGGTTTCACATCAAGCGCTTTCTGCATCTTGGCCATGGCGCCAATCGCAAATGTGTGTACATCTGAGGAGACGCCTTCCAAGATTTGTCCAGATATAATCGTCCACAAAAAAATTCAGAAATTTCAGAATGACTTCAAACATTTCTCATAAACATCAAATTCAAGGCCAAACTATCTGAGCTACCATATGAAGAGTTCAGATGCAAAAGCCTCTAAATGCCATTTGAAATGTTCTTCTTTAATGATGATTTTTATCAAACTTGTATATTTAAGTTCAGTAATTTCACTTAAATAACAATTAATAGGTAATTATCATTGCCATTTAAGTGAAATCACTGAACTTAAATATACAAGCTTGATAAAAATCATCATTTTAGAAGAAAATTTCAAATGGCACTTAGAGGTTTTTGCATCTGAACTCTTCATATCCAAATTAAAATGACAGTAGTTTTCTTTCTTTTCTTTTTTTTTTCCCACCAAAGCAATTTTAGGATGTGTCATAACTAAACTTACAAAGAAAAAGTCTCATGAGCTATAAAACCTCTGAGTTGGGATGGCATTACTTTGAAATTTTTTATTCCCCAGGTACATTGCAATTGTACATCCTACATCTGAAAAGCGAACCATTCAGTGGACCATCATCATCAACATTATGGTGTGGGTGGGCAGCTTCCTTCTGAGCATCCCAGTCATGATATACGCTAAAGTCCTTTCCAAGAAGAACATGGACATGTGTATGATTAACCTGGATGGGCCACAAGACATGTACTGGTACACTCTCTACCAGTCCATGCTGGGTTTCATTGTCCCCCTGATTATAATAAGCACATTTTACACTCTCACTTTGTACCACGTGTTCCGCTCCGTCCGGCGGGTCAAACGCAAGCAGTCGGTGTGGGCCAAACGGGCCACTAAGACCGTTCTGATGGTGATCGCCCTGTTCCTGGTCTGCTGGTCTCCCTACCACGTCATCCAGGTGATCAACCTCAGCATCCGGCAGCCCACCAGTGCCTTTGTGTACGCGTACAACATCAGCATCTGCTTAAGTTACTCTCACAGCTGCATCAACCCCCTCATGCTGCTGATATTCGCCCAGAACTATCGCGATCGCCTGTGCCATCGCAAAGAGCTACGGTCCCAGATCAGCTCGTCCAAGACCACCGTCAAAACCGACGGAGGGTCTAGCGTCAGCCCGGACACCAGCCACCGCTGCACTGTCATCTAACGGCAGACGTGCTATCTGAGGAAAACTGCAATGCAACACTTGCTGTACGGGTGTCAATTGCACGTAGACTGTTTCTCAAAGGGGAAAACTGTGAAATGAATCGCCACAGTTAACTTTCAGGAGGCATGAAGGAGTGAATTAGCACTCGAATATGTTTGTGGTTTGTCACACTCTGGAAAAGTGACTATAATGTCTTGTTTTTTTACTGTTAATGTATTTGTTGTATAATGTTAATTTTTCAGTTGTTTTGAACGGTTCATCACATTGAACGTGACATTTTGTGCTGTGAAAAACAAGGAAAAAGAATTGTCATACTTTACAAGCAATCACAAAGAATAGAAATTAAGGCTTCCAAGCTTCAAAAGAGAAAGAATATCATAAAAGGGTCATAAAAATCTAAAAATCTTTGAAGTCATGTATTTCTCATTGTTTTATGCTTCACTTGATCCATACACAAGATTTGTTTTGCTATAGCATAATAAATATTATGCACCATACGGACCACTTTTTTTTTGAAAAACTATTATGGTGGTTTTTGTGTTACATAAGAAATGATTTATCCCTTTTAAAAACAATTTATCCCTTTAAAGACAATTCAATGTTTTTTGTTATGTATTGGTGCCTTTTGTTTGTGATGTTGGGGAATGATAGACCAAATGAGAGAACCACTTTTCATTTATGCAGATGTCAAATAAAATGTCTATAAAATCAGTGTTTTTGTGGGTACGTATCAGGTTGAAGAAGACCTTTAGCGAGTAAAATATGCGGATCTAAGCCACAGGCCTAATTGATCGAATAGATATGGCATTCTGCTTTTTTATTTCACTTTCATGTATGTGTAAATATTGGCTTAAGTATTTTAAAAAATATAATTACACATATTTAAATATCCAGATGTCTTGTTGTCATGCATGTTTAGCTGTCTGTTTCATCTTCACTTAGAACATTGTACAAGATAAAATAACCCTGACTTTATGCTTCTGAGCGTTTTATTACATCAATTCACAAAGATGTCCAGTGTGAAATTCTCTGTGTGGTTCTGTTTTTCCTTTTTTTCGGAGAAGCCCCTGCGGCCCATTTGAGAACAGTCATGTTCACTGTTAACGTGTGACACTTAAAGTATGTGTGACCAGTCACATTTCAGTCCTGCCACCCTCAATCAACACATTATGATGCCTGGAAAATAAACAAAGAACTTCATATTATTTCTTTAATTTATAATATTATATTATATCATAATAACAAATGCCTTTTAGTAGGGAAGACTTTTTAGGTAATTTGCTATTCAGGGAGAAAAACTGTATATTTCATGATCAATGTTTTAACATTTACCTCCTGTTTCTTGCCTGAGCTTTCTGTCCTGAAGGCTTTTGTTTTTATGTGCTATAATTATATAAAATAAACTAAACTAAAAATGATTTGAATGTAAAATCAGGATCCTGTATCACTTTTTTAAATAAATGACTGGGTTCACAACACTGTACTGAATATGGACCACTTAAAAGTTCACCCAAAAATGAAAAAAAATCTGTCATCATTCACTCGCCCTCAAGTTTCTTTCTTCTGCTGAACACAAAAGATAATGTTTGGAAGACTGTCGGAAGATATTTTGAAAAATCAAACAGTTGATGGGCCCCATTTACATTGACTTCCATAGTATTTTTTCTGCACACTATGGAAGTCAATGGGGCCGATCAACTGTTATTCTTCAAAATATCTTATTTTGTGTTCAACAGAAGAAAAAAATTAATTCAGGTTTGGAACAAATTGAGGGTGAGTAAATTATGGCAGAACTTCCATTTTTGGGTGAACTATGTTTTTCTTTCTTGTTTTAAATGATTTAAATTCAATCTGTTCCCCCAATCAATGTTTCATGCAGAAGAATTTAGAGGATACATATGGATCACTTTATTGGTGCCTTTTTCCTTTTTTTTTGCCATTTTGACAGTGTCCCCACATTAAAAATGCAATGTACTTTCAATGCATAGACAATTTATGTAATCTTATTCTATCCACAATTTATTTATTCATTCTGTAATGTAATTACTTTTGACTAAAGACAAAGACAAAAGAGTAATAGACCGAAGAACCATCTTTCAGTCCATATATCTGAAGACAACTTACAACATCTATTGCCTGTTCAACTATTGCACATGGTTTATTCATAATGATATGGGCAGCACATTTCATGAACCTCATTATGTCCTGTAATTGCTCTGTATAATCCCATAACAGCTCTTTTACTGTATACCATGTGCAGCCAAAGTTGTAAACATTCCTCCTAAATGATGCTTCCCTATTCCTATATGATAATCCCCTCATAAAGATGGCTGGATGAACTGAAAAATGTGTTTCATGAACGTAAAGTCCAACGCAGTCAAACGTATTTAAACATCCTGAACCTTTATGGCAAATTCAGGAGCTCAGAATGCAAAGCAGATTTCCTCCTCCTTCATACAACTTTAAATAACTAGGCTTTCTTTTTAAAGGGTTAGTTACTCTTCCTCATGTCAATTCAAGCCCGTAAGACCTCCGTTCATCTTCAGAACACAGTTTAAGATATTTTAGATTTAGTCCGAGAGTTTTCTTTCCCTCCATTGAAAATGTATGTACGGCATACTGTCCTTGTCCAGAAAGAAAATAAAGTCATCATCAAAGTAGTCCATTAGACATCAGTGGGTTAGTTACAATGTTTTGAAGCATCGAAAATACATTTAGGTCCAAAAAATAACAAAAACTACGACTTTATTCCACATTGCATTCTCTTCCGGTTCTGTTGTCAATCCGCGTTCACGAGTCCACAGTGAGACGCTGCTGACGTGTTATTTGGTGCGTCTGTGTATTCGGGTTCAAATGCAAAAAAAAAAATGCAAGTCTTCCTCTGTGTGGAAATCCTTAGACATGTTTGTGAAGATGTTTTGTTTACAGCGTGCATCTCCCCTTGTAAACGAAGCTCAGGTGCACTGATAACACAACGCATTCTCATCCTAGGGTGTCATCTAACTGACAATTTTGACCATGCGTCTAAATCTCATGCACATGGCAACCATTAACGTTAGTTAGATGACATGAGTAGGTTTAGGTCTGGGGTAGGGTTAGGGTTAGACCACTATGAGGCGCGTCTCATATTGCAACGCATTCTCACCCCAAGGCGTCACCTTTGACCATGCTTCAATATTTGACGTTTTAGGCACCCTTTAGCGTCACTTACATGACGCGATCCTACGGCGTCATCTAACTGACGCTAAAGGAAAGCGTCAGTTAGAGGACGCGGTTAGGTTTAGGTGTGGGGTGGGGGTAGGGTACACGCGATCCTAGGGCGTCATCTAACTGACGCTAAAGGGCGTCTAAAGCGTCAGATATTGAAGCATGTCCAAATGCTTCCCAAGGCGTCAGTTAAGTGACGCCTTGGGGGTGAGAATGGGCTGCATATTGACGCTAAAGGGTGCTATGTGCTTCGGATGTTGACACATGGTCAAAAGCGTCAGTTAGATGTCGCCTTACACGTCATCAGCGTCACTGAACGGAAATGGACAACAGAACCGGAAGACAATACAATGCTGAATAAAGTCGTAGTTTTTGTTATTTTTGGACCAAAATGTATTTCCGATGCTTCAAAACATTGTAACTAACCCACTGATGTCACATGGACTACTTTGATGATGTCTTAATTTCCTTTCTGGACAAGGACAGTATACCGTTCATTTTCAATGGAGGGACAGAAAACTCCCGGACTAAATTAAAAACATGTTAAACTGTGTTCCAAAGATGAACGGAGGTCTTACGGGCTTGATGAGGGTGAGTCAATAATGACAACGTTTTCATTTTTGGGTGAACTAACCCTGCTAGTCTCATTTGTAAAAGCATTTGCTAAATGGATCATTGTACATGTGGTCCATTATCCGACTGCAAACATTTCCGAACTTCAGCAGTTCTAAAGACAACACATGAACCCTACTTCTTGGTATTAACATTAATGTTAATAACCAAATTTAACAACATAAAGCAACATAACATAACATTTCTAGACAACTGTAACCAGCCTTAAATATATGTCATAGTACTGATGTACTGATCTCCATTTATTAAATGTATTACTATAAAATATTTAGTAGGTTTCTTAGTTACCTTATGCTTTTTGTTCGTTTTCAATGTCATGATCAGTAAGTCAAACTTCCACATAAACTTCATGGTTCAGCTTGTTAGGCCATGGCTCTTAACATTGTGCTCTTAACATTAACTGGACATTTCTTCCCAAACAATGAAATAGGAATCACACCACAATGAAATATGAAGAGATAATCTTTCAAAAATCTTGACTGTGGAGGAGCATAGTAAATGGCTGTACTGAAAATCACAACAGGCTAAGCTGTGCCTGCCCCATCCATTTAATGCAGCGGCCTGTGGTCTTTTTATGGTCTAATTCAATTTGGGACAGACACAAAGATTTTTATATGATTATGGCGATATTGAGATGCTTTAATGTCTTTATAAATGTTCGTGGATCTTCGATCATGTTCTGCTTCAGCCTTCCCTAGAGTAACAGCAATAAATCACTGAAAGGCCGGCATCATTCCATGTAATGTAAATATCATACTAATTTATGGTTCGTTTTTCAGCTTTGGATTAAATCTGAGAACAGTGTCCTGTTTTTAGTCTATGACTAAGGCAAATCTGCTCAGACGCCACACACACACAGTCCTGAGTTTCATACACAGCCAAACAGTTTCCACGTAGCAAAACGGCAAAGAAATGTAATAAAGGCCTTTTTATCAAAGGGCCAAACACTTATTAAGAGGATCATTGGTATATTCATAATGGCCTGCATTGAACAGTTTAAAATATCTTACCCTGAAAGATAAAAATAACAATACCACACAAAGTGTCCACATTGTGTGACCACATAAATGCTACAGGGTATTATCACCAGATATTTTTCATGCCTTCCATGACTATTCTTTAGAGATCTCTTTTTGAGAAAACCGTTACGTGAGACAGAAAGAAAAGAAATGAAATGAAATGAAATGAAATGAAAGAATTCCCATGAAGCCGCGAGCCTCCTTTTTCTTCACCCCAGCGGGAACTTTTTATACAAAATAAAAGAAACATTTTGTTTCAACACAATTTCAGAAGAAAAAAACATCTCTCCAATTACTTCAAGGTCATATTCAATGCAACATTATCATGCTGAGGGAGAGGGTGTATCGACTTATTTCTGGCATTTTCATCATTCATCAGTAAATCTTTATTTAACCACCTCCTTAACCAAAACTCACTCCCACAGGGCTGGGATGGATTTGATAATATGCTCTGAAAGAAATAGCGCTGGATGCTTCCGGCCCCATAAGGTGATGGACCGACATCATCAAGTGTTTATAAAAATGTATATGCCACACACACACAAAAACACAAAAAAATCAGGTGCTAAGAATTGGCCAAATTATAATGATCATTATAAGCATCCTGAGTCAAACATCAGACAACACATTTATTTACCTCATTATCCACAGGAACTGAGATCTAAATAGCATTTCCAAAGCCAGACACAAACGTTTTGTGATGCCTTTTAAATCCAGCATGCTTTGAAATGAACAAAACACCCTCACAAGAAAACATAACTTTGGCAACTTTCATTCTGCACCGCCAAATCGACACTGATGCCAGTTTTTGATGTCAGCAGGTTTTAGAGGACTGTTCCTCTCCCAAGGCTAAACTTTTATGGTTAAAATGAACATTCTCTCATCATTTACCTCATGTAGTTTCATTTTCCAGTTTTGAAGAATGCCAAAGCTGCTCTTTTTCAATGAAAAAGAAAACAAAAAAAGGGGGGGGGGGATGAAAAATGTCCCCCGAATTGCTAATAAGATGCCCTCATTTATTAAAATATTAAATCTAATGTTAAGCTACAGTACATTTCTAGTTTCAACATTGTATTCTTCAGACATTCCTTTTTAAATGCATATTTATTCAAATTGACCCACATTTAGTTTTTGACTATTGAAAATGGGTAACACTCAACTATTTGGACATGCACTCTTAGAAAAAAAGGGCTCATAGGGGTTCTATATATGAAGCATAGGTTCTTTACTCAACTCCAAAGAACCTTTTATGCTAAAAAAGGTTCTATAATGACAAGAAAGAATATAGGGCCTTATAATATAAGGCAGTTCAGATTATAAGCGTGCACATTCTAAGGTAAATCAACAGGCTCTATGAAAAAGGCCATATTGAGCGTTATGATTTCTCTAATTCATTTTTATACAACTGGATAAATGACAGAAGCTTCATGATAAAACAGAACTGGCAGTCTGTGCAGTGTGAAAAGTAAAATCAAGGCAGTTATCAATGCTATTCACAACGTATTACTGAGAAGTGGTTTTAGCTGTCAAATGCAAGTAGCAGCAATTATTTTAGGTGAGCTGTTGAACGGCATAGAGAAGATTCGTTAAAACCATCTGGAGCTGAAAGCTAAAGAC